TAATAAAGTGGACAGTAGGTCTATAATCATATTACAGAGCTGATATTATCTCATATAGAGCTTATCTCGTAAAACAGAGTGACCTCTATTTCTCTGGCTCCAGTTCTAGTTTTAGGACCATTTTGAAATGCTCTGATCTTGTACATTAGGCTGGTTATGGGTTCAAATCCCCAAAAGTGACTTTATAGCAGTTGCTGCATTTGACCTATCCATGCTCTGTCCACAAATACACTCTTTGTCTTGTTAGATGAGCTTGTTTTTTGTCAAAATATGGACTTTTAAAGCTGCGCTATGTACGATTTTTTGGAAAAAATTGAAAGAAGTGGCATTAATGAGTCAGGAAAAAAAAACATGACAAAATATGGTGTTTTTGTAAAGCCTGAAATAATAATTTAAAAGGTGTGGCTCAGTGTTTAGGACTCAAATGCAAAATCAACACTTTGATCTCATGACAACAGTAGAAAAATCACTCCCATCCTCAGAACATGTTCTTCACCAAGTTTTGACTGAGTTCTCTCTGAATGCGCTTGCTATCATCAGATTCATCTACATGGGGAAGGGGTCCGATGCACAACCCACATAACCACCACATCTTTTCCTTAAAAGCTGCTGGTAATACAATGTAGTTGGAGAGCTCAACACGCTTGGAGGAGAACATTAACTCTTATTTCTGTTGCATCAGCTAACAAATGCCCTGGCTAGCATCGTGTGGCGTGATGGAAGGAGAGGAAGGGTCATCATTCCCACTCAGAGAGAGGAGAGTTGCATCGCAGGGGATCGAACTCATGATTCCCCAACATGAGGCAATGCTTAGAAGCAACATCGAGGGCATTTGTGGGCGGAGTATGGAAAGACAATCCAGCATACATTAGCAATATGACCGACTGTGTGAAACTAGAGTGCAGTCCAGTTCCATATGTTCCATATTGACAGACGCCATCCAACCAACAAATAAAACTCATGATTTACATATATAAACTTGATGCTATTGAACATTATATCATGTATGTTTCAGGGTTCTGCTGACAGAAGAAAAGGAGTTGCACATTTGGTTATATTTCTGGTTATCTGAACATCTTGTCTCAATCTCAAGCACTCACACATTCAAACACTATAAAAGAAACCCCCCCAAATCCCTCTTCTCCTTTGATTTGCTGTCAAAATGCACTGACAGCCTGTAAACTAGGCCCCAAAAAGGCGGCCACATCTGGAAATATAGAAAATTAACAGCTGATTTGCCATCAGTGGGATTAATGCGATCAGCCATAAAGACTCCGGTCACACACGCAGCCTGCGGGGCAGCGGAAGTAAGCAGGGCAGTGTGGGTGAAGATGAAGGAAATCTCTCCGTATGGTTTAAGGTCTGGAGAGGAGCCAGACGTCAGGCAGAGCGCTGGAGAGACAGATGAAAACTGAAAAAAGATGGCGGCAGAGGAAATTAATGAAGAGCAGATCGAGAAGTGAAAAAAAAGAAAATGAGTTTTAAACTCAGTACAGAGGGGTGGCAACCGGAGATTTGTGGGGTTACAAAAAGAAAAAACAGTGAAAGAAAAGAAGGATTTATGTTTATATAGAATGTTTTCAGATAGACATCAAATAATCAGTTTGGTTTATGGCTAATACCCACCCAATTACTGTACTGAAGCCACAAATTAATATATAGAGGTCATAAATTACTACATATTACTATATTGAGGCCTCAAATCACTATATTGAGGCCAAGAATTATTATACTGAGGCCACAAGTTATTATATTGGGGCCACAAAACATTATATTGAGGTCACAAATTAGTATACTGAGGCCATGAATCAGTATATTGAGGCCACAAATTACTATATTGAGGCCATGAATCAGTATACTGAGGCCACAAATGACTATATTAAGGCCACAAATTACTATATTGAGGCCATGAATCACTATATTGAGGCCAAGAATTACTACATTCAGGCCACAGATCACTATATTGAGGCCACAAATTACTTTACTGAGGCCATGAATCACTATATTGAGGCCACTAATCACTATATTGAGGCCACAAATTACTACAGTGAGGACACAAATTACTATATTGAGGCCACAATTACTATATTGAGTTATGAGAAACTAGGCCCTAATATAATAATTCATGGCCTCAATATAGTAATTTATGGCCTCAATAAAAATAATCAACGTGTGACCTTAAGGGATTCATATAATGTGGCTAATAAGTAGCGGAGGCTTGTGCTGCATTCCAGGGGTGAAGTTACACTCAAATTAAGCTGTATTTGAGACTCCAGATGCTACACAAATTTACCAGATGTAACAGATGTAGCGTCACCTTTTCTGCCATTGAACTGTGGCAAAAGTATATCTAATGTGCTTCTGTATGATCTATGAGCTTTTTTTCAATACAGCACAGAAGCCAGTTCTGTGTTTTCTTCTCCAATCTGGAGTGATAAAGAAATCCTGACTTATAGTCACTTACATTGAGGCTAATGAAGGCAGACGTGATATTCAGCCACCTGGCAGCAACGGTAGCTGTCTAGCAAACAACTTGCTCCAAAATCCTCTCACCCCTCGTAGTTTTTCAAAAGTTCTTTCAGAAGGCACTGACATTTCAGTGTTATTCTTTCAACAGTGTTTGTGTGTGTTTTGTGTGTGTATTAACAGAGAATATTGTAGTGCGCTCGAGAAATGTTTTGCGTGTTAATTTGTGTGTTCTTCAGCATTTATTCACTGGGTTTATTTTGGTTAATGACTCTTATTGTAGGGGGCGGGGTAAGGAGCCACCCCGAAGATATGTCTATGAGCAGAGAGAGAGAGAGCGAGAGAGAGAGAGAAAGAGAGACAGCTCATGAGCTGAGTCAGAGAGCGAGCCTTTAGCTGTGGCCGACAACAGCTGGAAAATAAAGCACCACAACTTGGGCAAAAGCAGTGTCTATTTTAACAGCAGTGAATGCAAGAATCTCTTTTAAATTCTAACAGGCAGCTGTTGACTTCTGTTACAAGCAAAGCTCTCAGGATGTAAGTTAAGTTTAAAAGAGTATAAAAGCCAAAAATCAAAAAACAAAAAAAGCAGAATTGCCTCATTTTGTGTTGTATGTATTCTGTCAGGCGTAAACAGCTTTGAAGTGACTTTACTAGAACGTTCCGTGCCACTTGCTTTTACACTAAACCATAAAATTGGAGAACCGCAGTGTGTGTGCTGAGTGGTGGGGTGTGTGTGGGGGGTCTGGAATGCGCTGAAGTTTCCTCAGCGTCAAGCAGAGCATTGGGACTTTTTGAAACACTCAAAAGAGGTTTACTGCAATGGTCAAATGAAAACTCATTTAATCAGCCAGATGAGAGGAGAACCGCTCGTTTCCACCTGTGCAACAAAGTAGTTTAGTCACAGTCGGTCAGGACCAAATATTCTGGTTGTCAAGGAATCTCTATTGGCCTACAGTGGTGACTTGGTTTATTGCAACCTACAGCAAGCGACTTACAGCGGAATTCCTCTGATTTCTCAAAACCTCAGCATAATTACACGCTTAAGATGTAAACAAAGCCATTCAGAGTAGTTTGGTGTGAAATTCTTCGTTCTAGAGAAACTTAACAAGTCAGAAATAGTCACAGTGGTGGTGATAGGAACCTGACATCTGAAACCTGCCTCTAAAACCTGCCTCACAGAAAACTATTATATGGAGCCCCCAAGGAGACATGGTGATTATTGTTAATAAGCCTTGGCCACAAGGTAATATATTGAGGTCACAAATTAATTTTCAATTTTATATTGTTCTTTATTGAAAAAGCAGGCAGATAGAGGATGGGGGGGTGGGGGGTGGGGGGGGGTTGAGTAGACACCTCCAGCACCTAGCTAAGCACCACAAAGGACACGATAAAGCACAAACACATTAGAACACATATTACAACTAATAAACAACAACATTTAGCACATTAAATTGAACCAAACACAGCCTGTGGAGAGGTGTAAGGCATTCTGGGAGTCCTCTAAGTGCTACACTCTGCTCTTCCAATTGGCCTGAACCTTAAGTCCACTGCCGGCTCGACGATATGTTGATGGGACGAATAATTAATATATTGATTAATATATTGAGGCCACAAATCAGTATATTGAGGCCACAAATGACTATATTGAGGCCATGAATCAGTATATTGAGGCCACAAATTACTATATGGAGGCCACAAACCACTATATTCAGGCCATGAATTATTATACTGAGGCCACAAATTACTATATTAAGGCCATGAATCACCATATTGAAGCAAATTACTTCATTGAGGCCACAAATCTTTATATTGAGGCCACAAATTACTTTATTGAGGCCATGAATCACTATATTGAGGCCACTTACACGCTTGTCCACAAGAAACTTAACTCTATATATATTAATTTACGGCCTTGATATATTCATTTGTGGCTGTGCCTGCCCTGCTGAAAAAATCCATAGAAAAATCCATAAAAGAAATTACGTGATTCTGTTTTGGCTTTTTTAATGGAATGATATCACAATGTAAAGCATCCTAATGGTTGAACAGGTGACCAGCGGCTATTCTGGTCCTTTTTCGGTAGCATTATTAAAAATAATCACTGTGTCACCTTAGGGGCTCTATACTGTCACACACAATGGTTCTGGATATGCTGCCTGATGTCTGAGCCATAGTTTTGAGAACGTTTGGGGCTAAAATGTCCGTGTTTCAGAATAAAAGTACGTGGAGGTGCGTACGGAGTCTTATTAGATCAAATGTAAACTGATAAAAATGATTATATATTGATATGGAGCATCAACACATGCGATTTCCAGGGTTGGTCTATGAAAGCGAACGTTGGACACTGACCAATCACAGCATACCAACCACACCCTGACCAATCACAGCTTACCAACCGCACCCTGACCAATCACAGCATACCAACCACACCCTGACCAATCACAGCTTACCAACCGCACCCTGACCAATCACATTAAACGAGGGCGTTGGGGGGGCGTGGCTCAGTAAGAAAGCGGGGCAAGAAACCAAAACAAAAGCTCGGTCATTGTGGACGAGCAGCACAAAGCGGTCAAAGGCAGCTGCAGCTTTCAGGCGTGGCGCTCATTTCTTACCTGAACTGATGAAATAGCCGCTCTATGGGAGGAGCAGATAAACAATAACTGACCGGTCTGTGTCTCTGAAAGTCGAGGGTGAAGAAAAACATCAGTTTTACTGAGGAGGCTCTCTGACAGGTGCGTGCAGTGAGGTGTACTGTGGTACAGGGGAGACAGCAGGAGTGAGAGAAAGCCGAGCGGGTTGTTAAACAATGAGGGAGGAATGGACGCAGACCGCTGCTGCTGCTGCTGCTGCTGGAAGCGGATCTCTGGGTCACTTTGAGTCCTAAACATGAAGCGTCCGGCTCTGGCGATGCTGACCGTGGCCTCCATCCTGCACGGTGTGACAGGTGAGCGAGAGAGAGAGAGAGAGGGGATGGATGGATGGATGGGTTAATCCGTTAAAGGGGGGTTCCACCGATTTGTCAAATTTTCTGTATAATTAAATCGTGAAGGTTTAGAGAAAATTGTTCATAGTGGTGGTGATAGGAACCAGGCGTCTGAAGAGTTTAATGCCTCTAAAAGCTGAGTTGTTACATGAAATGGTTATGAATATGCTGCTCGATGTGTGTTATATTGTTTTATGATAGTTTTTAGACAAGATTTTGGCCTAAAATATATTTGTTTTTCAAAATCCATTCAGTCATGGTGGAGAGGTGCATGCATATATGTGTATGTATGTGTATATATCTATATATCTATATCTATATCTTTATATATATAAATACACTATATACACACTGTAAATATTTTTTTCAATTTTTGACATAATTTAAAAAAGCACCTGTGGTCCTATATATTGTGTAAATTTCATGATGAGTGGACCAATAGAAATGACCCAAAAATACTTGGAAAAAGTCTGGTTCCATTGACTTGCATTAAAAGTAGAGTATGTTTTTTCCTTCTCCTGTAAAGTTGCATTTTGGAGACACGAGGTTTTCATCCAACAGCAGCGATATATTAGACTTATCACTATTTTACCATTTTTAACATTACCTATACAAACTCAAAAGACATGAAGGTTCATTTGTTGTTTTGGAAAATAAATAAAATGGCCATGTTTGCACTGTAAACATCACAACCCCTGGTTCCTACCACCACCACCACCGTAAAGACTGTAAAGAAATCTGGGTTGGTAAGTTTCAACACAATGAGCCACTTCACATCAGACCACTCTTACTATGACTTGCTTACACACCAACCACTGAAATATGCAGAAACTTTGAAAAATTGGTGGAATTCCCCTCTAATGTCCCTCTCTGAAATTTTAAATTCCCTCTGGGATGTTCTCCGAGCACAAACCTGAAGAAATCTCTAATCCGTTCATGCGGCTGATAAGTCAGTTTTTATCACTTCAGTCTTTTGGTCATGTGGGACTACTGATGTTTAACAAAGCAATGAGAACCCAAATTATTTAAATAAAAGTGTGAAAATGACCTAAAAATTAAAAAATTAAACGAATATGAGTACAGTTAAATGTTCATCCATTGCATAACTGCAGAATTTCCTTGTTTTAGACCAAATTCTGTGGCATTTTTCTTTATCATGCTAAATTTAGTCTTTGTGCACATGTGGGTTAATTTTATCTTTTATTATCAGGACTATAGTTTTGGCAATAAAACTCAAGTTCCCCAAAATAAAAGTTTTAGCTCAAGAAAGCCCTTTTAAAACAACAAACCTCTTTAAAAGGGTATTTAAAGCCATTTACTGAACTTCATTACATACTAGAGGAGCTAATATTTTTGCCTTAAAGGGGAATTTCACCAGTTTTTAAAAGGTTCTGCAGAATTCAGCTGATGAGATGTAAACAAAGTGAATGAGTGTGGTTTGATGTAAGATTCAGACTCATTTATAGTGGCGGTAATAGGAACATATGAGTGTAATATAGCCATTTTATTTACTGTCCAAAACCACCAGTGAACCTACAGGTCTTCTGAGTTTTTGTATGTAATGTTGATGATTGTGAAACTGTGGGAAATCACAAAAAAATATTTTCTTTGGGGACTATTTTTCCTTACAATGCCCTGCATGCAGCCATCCACCGTGCATGTATTTTAGGCTTATCTGTAAACTATCTTCATACAATGTTTAGGGGTCCAGACAGTGGATTTGTAACCACATCATGTAATCACTTTCTGTGAGGGGGCTTTGAGGCGTGTTTAACTCTTCAGACGTCTGGTTCCTATCATCACCACTGTGAACCAATCTCTGTAAGTTTCTCTAGAACTGAGTATTTCACACCAAACCACTCTGAATGACTTTGTTTACACCTTAATGGCTAAATTATGCAGAATAAAGAATGATGGAAAATCACTGAAATATCCCTTTAAAATCTGCTGTCAGAAGAGCTTTGGTCAGATTTGTCAGAGCATGGTGGACAGGACGATGATGGTGACCGTCTCTACAATGACAAATTGAACAGTTTAAAGGAAAATACTTGTATTTAGTTTTATTTCGTTAACGAAGCTTATCTACGAGCATTAGCACAAAAGCCACAAGCCAGAAGTTAACCATCTCCATAGCAACACTGGAGCGCTTCTGTGTAAGAGTGGACGATTGGACATAAAGGTTCGCTTACATTAGGAAAATAGTTCTTCTGAAACATGCTTATTTTCTCAGGTGAGTGAAATCAAACCTGTACGGTTCATTTTAAGTAATAAAGCTCCTGCAGGTCGAGCTGAAAGCTGAAATTGACTGTGACAGATATAGTGTAAATGCTGCTAACTCGTGTCCTGTGTTTACCTCTGCAGCCTTTCATATGCAGCCAAATCAACCAACTGTGTGTTTTGTCCTATTACTGTCAGTTGCATAATCCCTGGAGCACATTCCGCAGGACGCTGCCAGGGGCACAAACGCAGCCGGTCAGCAGCAAAAGGGGGGCTGTTACTTAAATTCCGACAAAATGCCATCAGAGCCGGTCTCAGCCAGTGGATTCTTGTTCAGTCATATTTGTTTGTACAGGATTGTTATTCTAAGGGTGTAACGATTCTGAAACGGTATCAAAGAATCGGAAAAGAACAGCATATGGAAATTTAACATTCACTGATATACCCCTTGATCTCGTCTGAGTGTCTTTCACCTACAGTCTTTTATCAAAAAACACTGCCAATGGTCAAAATAGTCATCTTGTGTGTTTTTGTATTGTTTATAGTTCATCTGCACTGTTTTATAAGAACACTGTTTTGCACAAGAACATGCTATTTAAATATATATGTATATAATACATATTTGCAACTCAACCACCTGGGATACCATAGCAATGGCTTTATCAACCCAAAGTTCATTCACAAACTTTCAACTTCTAGTTTCATTTCATGAAACAGCCATTAGGCACAAGTAATTAATTCTCAGGAAATTACATATTGAGATAATCCGCTTGTACAAGGAATTAAGAAAGTCAAAGTAAATGTATGAAAAAGCAGGAGCTTCCAAAACTGGAGTTCGAAAATGAAACTCCTAATAACCACCTGGAAGAGCTGTTAACCCAGCAAAACTGTCCCCATCAGATAAACAGCACTTAAAGCTTTCATCTCTGAGAGAGAGGAGAAAATCAAGTTGCTTCAGATCTGAAAACATCCACAGGTGTTTCTGTCCATCCTTCCACTGTGAGAAGACGACTCAGCGCTGTGGGTCTGAAAGGATGTGTAGCCGTTCAAGAAGAACCTCACTGAGAAAAGGAGACGGACACATCAAACAAAGAAGCTGAAGAATGGACTGACCACCCCAGAGTCCAGACCTCAACACCACTGAATGGGTTTGGATCATGAGAAGCAGAAAATGCAGCCAACTTCTAAAAATGTCCCTGCAGGTTTCTCTGAAAAACTGAAAGTGAGTCTCCTGAAAAGAATGGAAGCTGTAATAAAGGTAAAGAGTGAACATATAAATACTGATTATTAGTTGTTGAGGCTTCTGTGTCATTTTTTGTTAATGTGTTTTTCTGCTTTTTCTGCTGAAAAATGATTAACTTGTACTCAATGGCTGTTTTGACTGGGAGTTAAATAAATGAAGGGTGGTCTCTGACTTACGCGCGGCACTGTGTATCAGATGGGTGCATCACTAGCTGTAACAAACCATCATTAGCCTGCGTGGCAAGGTAGCATGTGTTCCAAAGACGCACCAGCTGGCCGTTCCGTGACTGAGTTACTGCCACTTTCTCTGGTTGTCAAACACAGCGCTGTGATAATGCAGACCCTGAATGTTTCTACTCGTTTAGGATTTCAGAACTACTGTGTTTCATTTGAAGTGAAGGCCACTCTCCATTTGATGTTTTATCTCAGCATCAATCATTCTCATATGTGTGTTTTTCCACTCTTCCTGTCTCTCTCTCAGCCTCCAGATGTGCCGCGCGTGCCTGCAGCCCTCCAGTGGGTAACTTGGCCAGTGGCAGGACCCTCAGGACCCTCCACATGCGCTCGTCCAACGACTCCTTCCCGGAGGAGCCCCATCCCCCTGCCCTGATGGTGGACGACCCCTTCCTACACCCCGATACCTGGTGGGGCTCCGGGTCAGCAGCAGGGGGAGAGGACGAGATCCGCTTGGACCTGGAGGCCCGTTTCTGCCTGACCCATGTGGTGATGGTGTTCCGCTCGCCCCGCCCAGCCGCCATGAGCCTGGAGCGCTCGCGGGACTTCGGCCGCACCTGGGAGACGCTGAAGCTGTTCGCCGAAAACTGCAGCTCCGCGTTCGGGACGGCCGACGACGCGAGCCAGCAAGGGGCGATCTGCACGTCCAGGTACTCCAGCGCCACGCCCTGCAACGGAGGAGAGGTAAAGCAGGAGAGGTGTGGGCTGCGTCCCAATTCTGCACACAAAAGTTCTAACTGGACTGAGTTGTATGCAAAAGTTTGGGCACCCCTGGTCAAATGACATGTTTTGTTGATTTTCTGAGTGAAAATAATTGAACACATCCTCTACAGAGAACACATTTTAATGCAGTCCTGTTTACTGCCGAATTTCATATATTGGGGTAAAAAAATTAAATGTGCCGTGTGCAAAAGTTATGGCACACTTTATATTGTATGTTTTATTTTTTTCCTGTATGTTAAAATCAGCAAATACATAGAATTTGTGCACCAAAATTTGCAGAACAGGTATATATGTGTGTTGTCTGTGGAGGGTGAGTTAACAAATTTCCACTTAGAAAATCAACAAAACATAACCAAAAACATTTGACCAGGGGCGCCCAAACTTTTGCATATGACTGTAAATGGTAGTTGCAGGCACTGAAAATGAGTATAAACAAAAAAAGGCAACATGCACACTTGCAGCGCATTTGGATGATCCTTGTGAACTCAAGAAGTCGGAAAATTGTCACCAGTTCATACCTACCAGTTATTTGTGTTCTGTTTCAGCCGTTTGGGCATCAGCCATTAATACATTTATCAAAATATATAACAATCTATATTCGGACCATCCTACCGAATTTAAATTTAAACTGTGGCCCCACAGTAAAAAAACTACTAAAAAACAATGAAGAATTCAGACCCTCGATATTTACAAGGATTATGTTATGAATTTATTAAACCCAAATGATGAATTGTTCCTTTGGTTCCCCTTTGGATCGGTTCTTGTTTGAATGTGCAGTGGAAAAACACACTTTGTGTGCAACGCTAAGTGCCAAGATCATCAGAGTATTAGGATCGTTTCAGCTGTTAGCCTGTCCGAGCCCCTGGATATCTGCCCTCCTGCAGAGTGGGGTGCCAACCGTAATCTGCCACAGCTGCTCCAGCTTATTAACATCTTCAGAAGGCCTTGTTTAGATGGATCAGGTGCATTAGCACCTGATCTCCACAGAAAAGGAGATCTCCAAGAGAAGAGACGGAAAGCTCAGTGTTAGAGACTGTTAGAGGACACCTAATAGGATTTGGCCTTTAGACCTAAACCCAGTCCTGTTTGTTCTCATCACTGGGAGCTAATAGTTAGAAAGCAATCCGTGCAGTTGTTTGGCCACTGTGACACCTGACTCCTCTGTGAAAGGACGGTGGAAAGTCTATCTGGCCTTTTGGGCCTGAACTCATTATGCCTGCGTTTAAGTGCTGTCTGCTTTACTGCCCTACAGTGATTTATTTGCTACAAAGCTATTGAGAGGTGAGGCCCTGTGCTGTCACTCTGGCTCCGTCCCAAAAACCTTCTTCTTTTCTTTGAGCCATCGTGATGTTTTTAAATGGCTGAGGCTTTTCCATTCTGTTAATCTGTGGGAAGTGTGGAGTCACATGGGCCTTATATCGGTATAGTGTGTCCATATGTTTGTTGTATTCAGGTCCCAAAGGGCTGTAGTGGAAAAAGCCTGCTGTACGTCTTTATCTGTAATATAGAGTCGTATGCAAACATTTAAGGACCCCTCAAACAACATGTTTTGTTGATTTTCTATGGCCCAATGTCATTTCTTATTTTTACCCCTACCCCTTGTTTTCGAGTGTCACCTTGCCCCTTGGAACTGAGTTACTAGGGGTAGGGGTTGAATTTTTTACCTACGAAACGGGACCCTCAAATAAAGAAGAACATTGCTTCATTAACAGCTACCAGCGCTGCTCTGTAGGTGACCCTGCCAGTCTGCAGTGACAGCAGAGGAGGGTCAAGTTCAGCTCCTCACTGCTGGGCTTTAGTTACGTTTAGGGCATCATACGTCTTTAAAGAGGGGGGAGTTAACAATTATTTATCTCCCACCTTTAGTTTTTCAGTGACACGAAGGTGAAGCAGAGCCAGTTTATGAGAGCCTGGCCACTTCCTATTTCCCCCGTTATATCAAAAACATGAGTGCAAAACAGCAGAGGGCGCCTGGGAGCAATCAATGGCAGTAAATGGAGCTAAACGGCTCAAAACGAAAAGTTAAAATAGTTTCTAATCACTCGCCCAGAACTTTCCTTTCATTTTAGAAAGTAGAAGGATGTATTTCACTAAAAAAGCAAAGAAAACTCACCTAATGTATTTATTTTTTCTACAGAAAATGTGTTTTGGGCAGCAGGAGGCTAGCATTACTGCTACTGAGTGCTGACTGATTGGCGAGCGGAGCAGCTCATTGGCCGTACGAGGCACTGTTTTAAACTCCTATAGCTCGAGTTCAGAAGCTCTTAAAAATACACCAGCGGTGTTCTCTTAGATTAAAAATGTTCAAGCATTTGCAGACTATGATTTTGCTCAAATGCTCCGTCTTGACCCGTTAATTTTGGACTCGCTCGGGAGCGCCCTCTAGTGTTTGAGAAACCTGGAAGTCAGCTATTCGCCGGCTTCTTGTTTGATTTTTCCCATTCCACCTTAAATGGCAGCAGTTGTGACGCCTGAAGCACCAGAATGTAACTGCTGCACCATTTAAGGTGGAACGGGAAAGTTAGCTAGCTACTGAGACATCAGCAAACTAGTAGTGATTTTTTTATGCTAGTTATGAAGAAAAGGACCATAATGCATTTAAACGATATTAAACCAAGATAATACCATGTTTATTGCAATTTTATGGAGAAAATACTCCCACTTGTTGGTGTCTTTGGTTGCTTGCACAACAATCTTGCTGGTTTTTTCTTTTTTTCTCATAATAATCTGTTTGGAGTGAGTCTCTGAGCCATATAGGCTCCATGTAGCCCTAACACTTCGCCCTATCCCTCTATCTCAACAAAAATCAGGACACCCTACCCCTAGACGTGAACGCTCAAAATGGAGGGGTAAGGGCTAAGTGGTAGGGGCAAGGGGTGAATTGGGATTGGGCCTAAGTGTGAATAAGTTAACACATCCTCTACAGAGAAGACACTTCTGCACATTTCAATGCACTGTTACTGATTATTTGCTGATTTTAACAGATTAGGGGGGAAAACAACATAAAGTGTGGCCTGTGCAAAAGTTATGGCACATGTTATATTTATATAGAAGTTGTGCGGCCATATCATGAAAAATTCCCTCACTTTCTTGCAGTAAAAGAGTTTGAAGTAAAATCTAAAGATTGGTCAGGTTTCAAAACTTTTCATTACCCAGTCCATACACTGTTAGAAATAAAGGTACTCTGTGGGTACATTTCTTGTTCATCAAGGTACAAACAATGTAAATGTTCCCTCAAAGGTACAACAGTGGTTTTTAGGGTTCAACTGTGCACCTTATTTAAATTTTTCCAGGTGAAAAGTTTGTATTTGTACCTTTTCATAACCGAATGTTTTAAAACAGAACAATAAAATAAAAGCCTGGAGTCGAGACGGGGTGTGTGGAGTCAGTACAGCTTAGAACATATCATTTCAGTGGATTATGGTACAATTATGTTCCCTGACTAAAGGTACTGAGATGTACCCTTGAGGGTACCACCCCAGTGACAAGAGAGGTACTGCCCCAGTGACAGTTTAGTACCTTTTTTTTCTGAGAGTGTACCGCCCATATATGCAAACTAAACTTACCTTTCAGCCTATAGCAGTTTAACTCCGCCCATTCATATTGAAGTTAAATGGAGTGTTTCTGACTGCTTTCTGAACGAAGATCTGAAACAGGGCAGCCAATCAGAACAGAGCTTATCTGTCTTATATCAGTCTCTGGAGAAATAATAAAATACAATTTGACTGTATATATTCATATTGTTACCATGGTAACAAAACCTTTGGCCCCTTCTTTATAAAATATTCACACATCATAAACAGCAGCTGCTGTTTTCAAGTAAATTATTAATAAAAATGAGTGTTTTGAGGTTTTGATACAACAGCAACATTATGAAAATTCATTTTCCCATCCTCGTCTCATCAATATTCTCCAGGTTATATTCCGGTCGTTGGGTCAGGCCGGCAGGATGGATGACCCCTACAGCCCTGAAGCTTTGTCCTTACTGACCCTCACTAACCTGCGCATACGCCTCCTGAAGCCTCACCACTGTCCCGCCTCGCCGGTCACCTCTAGAAGTCACCACAGTCCTCCACACCACACAAACAGCCAGAGGTTCTTCCCCACCGTCCCTGGTCAGTCACTGCACAGCCCCATGCAACCGGCCCGATCTGCCCCGTACGCCGTCTACTCACTCCTGGCCCGAGGAACCTGCCTGTGTCACGGCCACGCAGAGCACTGCCTGTCTGCTGGAGAAGGACGGGACACGCAGGACGACAGCACTGTGGTGAGTGAGTGGGAAAATATGTTAGAGATGGACTTTTTCTTGTCCAGGACGGATACTGAAATCTCGAGTGTCAGCTGATCAAATTGACTCTTCTTTAAAACTACTGAGCTTTAAAGGGCACATAACGTGGGAAATTAAGTGTTGTGAGGATTGGAGGATACGCACTGCATGGCATCCCCGCTATATGAGTTAGCATGGTCTGCCACTTCGTGACTGAGCCATTGTTCTCCTATACACTTCCATTTCACAGTAATAGCACTTACAGTTGACTGGGGCAGATCTAGCAGATCTTTTGGTCATCTAGTGTATTAGGAAAAGATGGACATATTGTGGCCTGTACAAAAATTATGGCACATTTTAGAGTTTTTTCTAACATATTTAGCAAATAAAAAGAAAGTGTGCGCTAAAATTTGTAGAACGATGCCATATTCAAGTGTCCTATAGAGAATGTGTAAACTTGTTTTTACGTAGAAAATCAACAAAACGGGTTTTCAGTATTTTGCAGATTGCTCATATCTGCTTATTCAGTCCATTTACTCTGAAGGTATAAGGACTGTTTCAGCCTGGACTGCCTTTTGAATGAGGCACAACACAGGGCAGCCAATCAGAACAGAGCTCATTTACGTATGTCAGTGTTAAAGGCACAGTAACAATTAGTTAAAGCCTGTTTAATTAAATGGGATAAAGAGATAAAAATTGTCATGTAAAAATGAAATATATAAACATAAATAGAGCAAATACAGCTGATTGCTTTGCCAAACTATACAAAGTAATCAACTGTATTCAGAAATAGACTAAACTATTGTAATTTTAAAATACAGTATGAGTACACAGTTACAGAAAAACATGAATTTCACATGTGATTAAACACGTTTTTGCACATTTCACAAAATTTGTGATTACATGTAGAAAAATCCACACATTATTTGTGTTTTTGAACACTTCACATGTGTAATATGTGTCGTGTCTGAAAGGGCTGCAAATAAACACTAAATTACTGGCAAAATGTTTGCTATTTTTTCCTTCTGAGTATCAGATCAGCACTGTCTCTTGTGTTTTGCCCTTTTGAAATATATATGCCATGAAAAAAGTTTGTGTATTGTACAGTTGTATTGATTACATCAATGACCTTGTATGAATAGACTGTAAGTTAGAGCTACTTTGTTCGTATGAACACAAAACGTTGGCGCTCTTGTTCTTACGTAACTGCATTGACAATGTGCTGTAGTGCTTTGGTGTTCAGCAGCCATGACCCGCTGTTTGTTGTGGTGATCATTCATGAAAACGCTCCTGTGTTTGTCCTGCTAACAGGTGCAGGGCAGGTGTGTTTGCACTCACCACACAGCAGGTGCTCACTGCGAGAGGTGCGCCCCGCTTTACAACGACCGGCCCTGGAGAGCAGCCAACGGCAGCAGCGGGGAGCCAAACCCCTGTCAGAGTACGAGCCTTTACTCTTTAACAATAAGCGCTAATGCTGCTGGTAATGAATGAGAGCAAAGGCCAGTTAGCATTGTGCCAGTGTTTCTTAATTCCAGCCACCTGGGGGCACTCTTTAAGGGGAGGAACCGGGGGGACCCCTATATCAGTAAGTGAGGTGAAGAATGCACTGACTTCTGCAGTCATACCGGTTTATGAGGAGCCTGGCCACTTCCTGTTTCCCCCGTTATATCAAAAACAGGACTGCAAAACAGCAGAGGGCGCCTGCGAGCGAGTCCTCAAGGAATGGGAGTAAATGGAGCTCAGCGGCTAAAAATGAAAAGTTAAAATAGCTTCTAAACACTTGCTCAGAACTTTCCTCTTATTCTCCAGGATATATTTTGGTTTTTCCATCATGACCAAATCGTAAGGCAAATTATTCAGTAACTGCATGAAATAAATGTAATTTTTCTTTTTTTTTATTTTATTATTTTTTTGTAAATGTTCCCCTAAAATAACAGAACATGTGTTTTATGATCACACTTATTGCTATATGCTTACAATTTACTGCTGAAAGCCAAAAATCTTAGACGCTCTTTGTATTATTTTATGAAAATATTTTTTACAGAGCAGATCACTGAAGAGACACCATCTGTTTATGGTTTATAGCCCAGATTTGTGGAAAAATGGGTCGACTTTCAGTAGACAAAAAAACGGCAGCTTCTTTTATTATAAGGGTTTAAAATTACATCACCCATCTATTTGACTGGAAAGAAGACAGTTTCAGCTCTCATATGACCCCCACCTTTTGAATGTAGCTTATGAAATATGAAAGTTATGAAGAATATGACCAAGTGCGTTTTGGAACCACCGGTGGTCTCAAGGAGTTGAAAAGGTTAATTTTAGAAAGCAGAAGGATGTATTTCACTAAAAAAGCAAAGAAATCTTACACATATGTTTCCTTTTTTCTACAGCAAACAGGTTTTGGCAGCAGAACTCTGGCATTACTGCTACTGAGTGCTGATTGGTTGGTGAGCAGAGCAGTTCATTGGCTGTTCGCGCTCACTGATATCATGGATGCATATGAGGCCCTGTTTTAAACTCCTATACTCCTTTATGAGTTCAAAAGCTTTTAAAAAACATAACAGCGGTGTTAAATGTTTTATGCTGTTCTGTGTTCAGGAAATTAATGTTTTCTTTTACATTAAAAATGTTTAAGCAGTTATAAACTATGATTTCTCTCAAAAGCTCCAACTTAACCCATTCATTTTGAACTCGCTCGGGAGCGCCCTCTAGCGTTTGAGAACACCAGAAGACATTGCAGAGTGGTAATTTTCCTCCCCACAAGTTCTCTGGCTACACCTCGGAGCTCTACAACCTCCCTGACCTGTTCAGTGTGCCACAGAGGATTCCGGGCCCAAATTGGTCTGTTGGCTCCAGAGCCACATGTGCATCATCAATGCAACTGTCTAGTGCCATTTACACATAACCTTCACATTATAAGGACTGAGCTAAAGGTAAGGCCACTGCGTATCTTGGTGGCTAATGAACTGAAATCACTAGTAGGGATGCAGCGAAAATGGTAAGAAGTGTCACTTTTAGCCAAAAGAAAAAAGGTTTAACACAACAGAGTCGAAATCTCACGTCTGATAAATCATTTGAATGATAATGAAAACAAGAAACAGTGATTGAAAACACGTTTCGGTCCTTTTGCTGTTCAGCACAAGTCATCACAGACGTCAGCAAACAGTTTGAGCCAGAGCAGATAAACAGAAAATAAAGTCAGCCATGTTGAACTGTTTATTCTATGAGGGTAATTTATAATCTCTGTTCAGCCCAAGTGTCTGCGATGCTCAAGAGCCCCTTTGATACCACTTGATACAAAATCCAGCTCTGAAAGTCCCGCTAGCACAACGCTATCCATAGCCAGTTAGTGAAATGATGAAAAAATGAACAAACGACAGTGCAAAAGTGCAAAATTACCAATAACTAAAAATAATGGAATTCATTTTGGAGGATGTAGGATTTCATGGCACATTCTGTAGCCTATATTCTGTACTAACTTTTGAGTTTATTTTATGTAAACAGTTTTTATTTGTCAGCTCAGCTTTGAATTGTAATCACATTTGATCAATAATGAATGTTTCATTTGTTACGTTTTAGTTTTTGTGTTTAGTACATTTATTTAAAAGCATAAATAAAATAGCCAGCTAAAAAATAAGAGAAGAAACCTTTCTTTTGATTTTTGGTTTTGGTGTTCGGTTTTGGTGTTCGGCCAACTCTGTCTGGAATTCTGGTTTCAGTTTTGGAAAGGAATTTTCATTTTAGTGCATTATTGATCTCCAGCATGTCAAAACTATAAGTGCTATAAACTACACTGTGCGTAAAAGCTGAAACCTGATTGGCCTGTAATGTTTGTGTGAAATACGATTGGTTCTTTACACTTTCTATGATGGACTGACAGCAAATATTTGTTAATGTTTTAGTTCAGTCACGCGGAGCGCAAAACCCAGAACAGTGTGGCTTGTAGATGCTAGATCGTCATTGAGGATTATTCCAGCCCAGTTTAAACCCAGGCTGGGCCTTATTTAAATAACTGGACGACTTAAGCCTACAGTCCAGTAGGGAAGTCCTTTAGCGCTTCTCCGAGAGAACAGGCTTGACTTTTGGCTTAAAGGGAAATTCCATTGATTTTTCTGTGTAATTAAGAACTTCATAGTGGTGGTGATGGGAACCAGACGTCTGAAGAGTTTAATGCCTTTTAAAGCTCCTTCGTAGAAAGATATTACACGAAATGGTGATGAATATGCCTGAGACATTGTTTTTAGGATAGTTTTGAGAAGGTTTTGGCCTAAAACTGTTTAAAGTTCATTCATGGTGTAGTGATACATGCTGGGTGTTGTAAGGCTCCAAAGAAAACTTTACAGATCAACCGCTACTTTACCCTCATTAACACTGCATATGTGTTGTAGGGACTGCTTCCCCAGTTCTGATTATCACCACTGTAAAGAAATCTGAGTGGTCACGTTTCTCTACAGTGAACTAATTCACATCAAACCACTTTTGAATGACTGTTTAAATTTTGAAAAATTCTCTGGAATTCCCCTTTAAGTTGTCTGGCTAAAGGAGAAATCCTGCTCTGTGAAATTCCCCCTCTGCAAAGTAACACCTGATTCATGTCAGCAGGGCCTTTGTGAGCTTCAAGGTCTCTCTCTCACTCTCCCTCTCTCTCTCCCCGCCCCCTCTCCCTCTCTCTAGAGTGTGAATGTCACGGCCATGCACAGAGCTGTCACTTCTCCGAGAGGGTGTGGCGCTCCACAGGGGGCGTCAGCGGAGGGGTCTGTGATAACTGCCAGCACAACACGGTGGGCCGCAAATGCCAGCGCTGTCGCCCGGGGTACCACCGCCATCCAGCCAGACCACTAAACTCACCACAGGCCTGCACACGTAAGCCTGCAGTGGAGCCTGAGTGAGGGGGAAAGAGGGGCTGCAGCGTGAAGAACACCAGAGGATGTTATTATTGAGTTATTAGTCAGTTTGCTACACTATTTAAATGTAATAATCTAATTAATTACATAGTTACGTAACAAATCCCATTTATATCTGAGGAATATTCTGTATCGACAGCTTTGCGTCTGTAATTCTGAGTACTTCTATTCAGACGGTGACAAAACATGATTACGATGCCTAGGATGGTTTTATTTCTGCAGAACAAGATACAGTAACTTTCCATCAAATTCAAATCCTAATAAAATATTTCCATATTTATATGCATAGAGTTACAAATGTAGTTTATGATCCTCACCTTTAAACAAATTTCCTCTTGTTGTTTCATTGAGTTATGAGTGAGAAATAATTATTAAAATAATTAAATAATAATTATTATTATTCCTAGCAATAATTTGTCACTTGTGGTAGGGGTAAAAAAAATATGGCAAAAATACTGTATCATAATACTTCGTCATTTTCACAGTAAACAGTATGTATCATGATATTTAGTTTTTTTGAGATTTAATAAGTTGAACCAGATAAAATAGAAGTGCAACATACAAAAATGATGATGAAATAATAATAATAATAATAACCTGTGATTACAATGAATTTTGTTCAGTGTTTTACAATCTGCACTGCACTAAATCCAATTAAACTGGCCTAATTAAACTCTTTTTGTAATGTAGCATGTATTTTCAATATTTTTTAAGTGCTGACGATGTCCATGACATGTTCAGAAAAGCATACTGTGAGCTATTTTATCACGATAACTATAAAATATTATAACATTACGGAAAATTAATATGTGTTTAGAAAAGGTCCAGCATTCCTGCTATATTGTTGACACAAATCACAAAACATGAACATCTGGAAAGCCAATTTTATTTTCCCATCACCTGTTTAGTGTCTCTGTCTCCCCCTGCTGGTACCAGTATAGCATCACTGTCTCCTGATAAAAAGTTTGCTTATGTATAAAATGCAGATGAAACTCCTCCACAGTTTTCTGCCTTTTTGTTTGAATTGGTTACAAATATTCCAGTTTTCTCCCCTGAAATTTTCTTTACCACTTTCGATCACTTCTGCCATCCAGCTGTTACACTTCAGAATGCTGGTATTGAAAGTAGGACTCTCAGTCTAAACATTTGTAATAATCTGAGTTCAGCCTAAATGAAGAGCTCTTACCCACGGTGGGTCTGTTTGGCAGGATGCTGGTGTGACCCAGTTGGATCCGTTCTAGCACTGACCAGCACAGAGGGACCCTGGTGCCACCCCAGAAGTGGGCAGTGCCACTGTAAGCCCGGGGTCGGGGGCACCAGCTGCAGTCACTGCCTTCCTAGACACTGGGGCTTTGGGCCAGACGGCTGCAGGCCCTGTGGGTGCCCTCTGACCTGTGACCATATCACAGGGCACTGTTTAGACAGGTGAGACCAAGTTGTAATGCACAGTGAGATTAAGATTTTATTCTCCCATATTGGAGATTTGCTCCAGTTCATTAAACAGTGTGTGTAGCTTTACAGTCTGACAGTAATAATTGTGGAGCGATTTTAATCCAGTATGAATCTGCAGTGTGTGTAGTTTTACAGTCTGACAGTAATAATTGTGGAGTGATTTTAATCCAGTATGAATCTGCAGTGTGTGTAGTTTTTAGAGTCTCTGTAAACGCTCTCTGTGTAACATTGTGACATTGCTTTTAATAGCCACACTATCTGTCCAGTTTGTGAATGCCATTTACGACCTTTTGATTCACCTTCATTGTGTTTGTGTTGCGTTCTCTTTCTTTTTACAGCAAAGCCAATAGCGAGTTTTACAATGTTCCCATCGGAGGTAAAATCCCAGACCTGACCCACTTTCGGCCACATGAGGAGGACAAGGTGTGGTCCAAAGAGCTCGCTGTCTCTGCTCTGTACTACACAGGTGAGCTAACAGGACCCCTGTATACCTGCTAAAAATACACTGCACACATAGGAACTAAAACAACGTGGGAACAGCTACAAAAGTAAATGAGGGTTTTCGAGATACAAGGCATCACATTTTCAAAGCTATTCTTTCCTCTGTTCTTTTCTTTATTCATTTTCTAGCTATTCTTTGTTCTTGTGGTTAAAACGAAAGTTTGAAAGAGTTGTTTTCTGAACGAAAGGATATTGAAAGGATACCATTGTGATCACGCTCCGTGTGTGTTTGTTTTGCTTCTCCAAAGGGAAATGCAGCTGCAAAGAGAGGAAGCTGAAGGGTGTGTCCGACCTGTGTAAGATGAAACATTCTTATGGTAATGATGTGTTATAATTTATCTTATTTGTCTTCATATTTACTATGTAACATTGTGATATCGTGAGGCAAAAATTATCATTCTGTTAATTATGGCACTGAATGCATTGTTTGAGCACCAAAGTTTACCAGTATCAGTCAATAAACCCACTCCAGCATGTTCATTACTAAGCTATGCAACATCACGGATACAGTCTTTATTTTTCTCCCTTTGAATTTTGTCCAAAATATCATGAGAATAATAAATCGAGAACCCAGCGTTGAAAATTAAATCAAATCGAAAGATAAGAGGGATGTGTTGGGTTGGTGGAAAAGTCACAGCGGATCTTCACTCTTCCTCGCCCAAAATGTGTTAAGCCTTTCTTTAGCGCAGCAGGGCTAACAGTCGATCAGAGGAGGGTGGATGCTGTTCTCTTAGTAATAAAGCAAAGCTCTGCTTTCACTGCAGGTCACTCTATATATGAACTGAGGGCTGGCCAGACTAATAACGTAAGCTAATATTCTCAAACTTGTGAACAATAAAGTGTTTTTCCCCTTAATTTATCTCTTTTCCTCTCGCCAATATACTCAAACACACGTCATGCCATTCTGCTTCTTGTTGTTTGTTTTTAGACATGTGTCGTAGTTGGTCACAGCGAGATTTCAGACCCAATTTTCTTAACTTTATCAAAGGCTGTCTGTGGTCTCAGAAGCACTAGCCGCCTTGGAGCTTGTCACATTAACCCCCTAAATGGCCAGCGTCCATCAGCAGGCCCAAAGTTTTAATACACACTTCTATAACCTTAAAATAGCTCAGCCAGTGTGCATTGAAGTCCCTGTAGTTACTGAATAATACACCTTAGTATGTAATAAGTCTGGGATATTAAGGGGTTAAATGTTTAAAGACCACCGATTTTAGCCCATGATCAAATAATTTGTTCATGATTCACGTGACGATTATCTCACAGTGTAAAGCTGCCTACGTAGAGTGTGTGAAACTTATATATATATGTATATATATATATATATATATATATATAGTCACAGTTTTTAAATAAAAACATGTCTACTGCATAAGCCCAGTGTCGTACGTGAAACATCGGCCCGAAACTTAGCGATTTTTCATGTGTGTTTCTTGTGCCGGAGCTTCAGTGTCACTGGTGTGAATAATAAAGCAGTGTGTATATGCTTCCCTTCCTTCCTGCAGTGATGAAGGCCAGCGTGCTGTCGGCTCATGATAAAGGCACCCACGCGGTGGTGCAGGTGAAGGTGAGGAAGGTGCTGCGCTCGGGCCTCCTGCCTCTCTCTCAGGGCACACACAGTCTGTACCCGCTGTCCTGGACCAGCCGCGGCTGCACCTGCCCCGTCCTCAACCCAGGTACAGTCAGCATGAAGCAGAATTTAGCGGTTTATCAGCCTCACTGAGCCGGAGAATAAAAGCATGGTGGAAGTTGTCGCGGTATCCCAGGTGGTTGCTAAGGTGTTGCTAGGCCATTGTTATGGTCTCCCAGGTGGTTGCTAAGCCGTTGTCATGGTATCCCAGGTGGTTGCTAAGGTGTTGCTAGGCCATTGTTATGGTATCCCAGGTGGTTGCTAAGGTGTTGCTGTGTTGTCCCAGGTGGCCGATAAGATGCTGCTCTGCTAGGCTGTTGTCATAAAATCACAGGTGGTGGCTACGGTGTTTGCAGGCTGTTGCTGCAGTATCCAGGGGGTTGTTAAAGAGGGAATTCCACTGATTTTCCAAACCTTTTGCGTAATTCCATCGTCACAAAGTAAACAAAGTCATTCTGAGTGGTTTGATGTGAAATGGTTCACTGTAGAGAAACTTACAGACTCAGATTTCTTTCCAGTGGTGCTGATAGGAACCAGGGGTCACAATGTGTACAACACAAATGTAGCCATTTTATTTACTATCCAAAAACACCAGTGAACCTACACGTGTCCTCTGAGTTTTTATGTGTAACGTTGATGATGGTAAAATAGTGATAAATCCGAAAAAAAACGGTAAAGGGACTATTTTGCCTTACGGCACCCTACATGTACCCCTCCGCCATGAATGGATTAAAATAAACGGATTAACAAGGTGTTTTAGGCCATAATCACAAAACTATCGTAAAACAGTGTGTCAGATATCAGACACCGTATTCATGACCATTTCATGTAAAAACTTTCTGTGAGGGAGGATTTAGAAGCATTAAACTGCTCAGACGTCTGGTTCCTATCACCACCACTGTGAACAGTTCTGACCCTGTACGTTTCTCTAGAACAGAGCATTTCACACCAAACCAGTCTGAACGACTTTGTGTAGATCTTAACCATTTAAATATGTTGAACTTTTGAAAAATTAGCGGAGTTCCCCTTTAAGATATTGCTAGGCCGTTGCTATATTATGCTATGTCATTGATAAGGTGGCAGTGTAATAACATTTGGGTACTATAGCAAAAACACTGTAATGTCTACAGATGTTTAAGGATCAACAGAGATCTTACCTAAGTGGCCAAATGAGGTGCATCGGCGGAGAAGACACCTGTAAAAGCAACAGCTCATAATAGAGTCAGCCATATAAACTGTGCTGTGCTGTCTGCTCACCCAGGACAGCACAGTAAATACTCCTGCACTGCAGTTTTAATAATGAGTCATCTTTCTGTTCCAGGAGCTGACTACTTGCTGGCGGGCCCAGAGGACGTAGAATCGGGGCGGCTGCTGGTCACCATGCAGAGTCTGGTGGTGCCGTGGACTTCCACGCTCGGATTTCTGGTCTCAGAAGCTGTACGGCAGGGATGCTTATGAGAATGCTTTTTACAATGCAGCATGGACATTAATGCACCCTTGGATGTACCCAACCATGCAGAACTCCCAAGCCAAATTACGTGGAGGATGTGGAGTGTGGACAGTTTGAACAAGCACATACGGGAGGTGGAAACCTGGCTCAGTTGGACACGCTTTACAAAGAAAGTGCAGCAGTAGAGCCTTGAAAAGGATTTGTACTTGGATTTGTACTTCCCACCTTCCGTCCTTGCCTGGTTTCGAGGTTTTCCACTGTTCAGCCTTTGGATCTGACAGTGTGTGCTGGGTGGCTATGGATGTTCGATGTTACAACATTTCATACGAGTGGAGAAATGGACAGGAAGCAGCATTCAGAGCTCCAGATGGGGACTGAAGTCAGCAACACGTGGCTATGAAACCCCAGGTGGTTGCTAAGGTGTTGCTATGTTATCCCAGGTAGCTGCTAAGATGCTGCTCTGCTAGGCCATTGCTGTGGAATCCCAAGTGGTGGCAAAGCTGTTCCTAGGCTGTTGCTATGGTATCCCAGGTGATTGCTAAGGTGTAATGTAATTATATTTGAGTAGTATAGCAAAACAGTAAGGCCTGACTTTTAAGGGTTAAAAGAGATCTAACCTAATTAGTCAAAGGAGGAAGGAGATAACCTATAAAAACTACAGCCCATGAGTCCCCTCACATAATACAGTAAATACAGTAAATACAGTAAGCAAACAGATAACATACTAACAATTATAACTGTACTGGGATGTATTCACCCACCTATCAGACATATATGGATGATCCATATATTACGCATATATGTCCAGTATTTGATAACTACATATATGTACATATATTTTGAAATATATGCCATTAATCATATATATATATATATATATATATATATGATTGTATGGCCTTATATCAGATGTACAAATGGGGAATGTCTCTAAGGCCAGAGATTCAAGACTTCACCGGACTCAAACTGACCTGTGACCATCTCTGCCAGACCGACATGCTGCAGATGGGCTGGCCAGATGGAGTACTGCAACAACAATTGTCTTTTCCAAGTAGGAGTGTGTCCACAGTAACAGCTGTGCAGCTGCCACAGTGCTATCTCTGCCATTTGTGATCAGTCTTTAGGGCAGCGGTATTCACTGCTCCCAGAGGTCCGGAGTCCAGTACAGTTTAGTGATTTTTCTGCTTAAACAGACACACTGCCTGGGAAGTTTACATATGATGACCACATAATTCAACTGTCCTAGACAAAGTCATTCAGAGTGGTTTGATGTGAAAGGGTTCACTGCATAGAAACTCACTGACTTCTTTACAGTGGTGGTGACAGAACCAGGAGTCACAATGTTTACAGTGCAAATACAGCCGTTTCATTTACATTCCAAAATGACTAGTGAACCGAGACGCATCTTCCCGAGTTTTTATATGTAATGTTAATCATGATAAAATGCTTAAATAGTAAATGGAAAAACAAAGCAAAACATTTATGTTGGGTTCTATTTTGCCTTACAATGCCATGCATGTACCCCTCCGCCATGAGTGAATTAAAAACAAGGTTTTAGGACAGAACTTTAAAACAGTGTCTGAAGCATCAGGCAGCATATTCATAACCATTTCATGTAATAAATATGTGAGGGAGAAAGTTATATATGCTCTTTGGGGCATTAAACTCTCTAGATGTCTGCATCACTGAAAGAGAGGAAACCTACACCAACAGGATTTCACAAATGTTTGTAATGATAATTTTCATATATATCATATACATCCACTATATATATATGTGTGTGTATGTATATATATATATATATATATATATATATATATATATATATATATATACATACACACACATGAGCATTAGGGGCAATTAGGGGCATTAAACTCTTCAGATATCTGGTTCCTGTCACCTCCAATGTAACCAAACCACTCTGAATGACTTTGATTGCATTTCAACCATTTAATTATGCAAAACAAATCGGTATGATTCTTCATCAAAGCAGAAAAACCACCAGAGTGTGCTAAACGCCAGCCCTTCAGGACTGGAACTGAATGCTTCTGCTTTAGGGGCTTCTTTGCACTACTCTAGCCATATAGATCTACTCACAGTAGCACAGCAAGTGACCTGGACTCTGGACAGTAACAGATATGGTCACATGGATGTTGATTTTGTTTAAAGCTCAGTAGATTTTGAGTGCACACAGACAAATGATGCATTTCACTTGTACTACATAAAAATGTTCATACTGATTTTGTACCTCTGTAGTTACGAGCTGTCAAGTATTGCTGGACAATTGTGCGATTTAGAAATAACACTTCGTACTGTATTTACTGTTTCTTGAGTGGTCACTTTTTTAAAATGTTTGCTTTTTTTTCTTAGTGGTTTTTTTTAGAGAAGCTTAGTTCTAGACCAGGTAAGTGTAACTCCTGGATCACTTCACCACCTGCAATGCTTAAAGGAATACGCCGGATTTTTCAGCCTAAACTCTGCATCTGTAGCAGACTGTTGACTGTTGACCAATGGTCAATAATTTCGACTCGTTTCCCTGTACTTAGAAAAGGACTGGAACAGTGGGCAGTTGGTAAATTCTGAGAAACATTTGTGAGGCTATTTATGTAAAACACTTAAGTTTTCATCAATTCTTTAAAGGTACATTATATGGCCAAAAGTATGTAGACACCTGATGCAACCAAGGACAGGCATTATTTTGCACTACATGCTTCAGCACTTAGCTGCCCCACTTTGTGAGTTTGCATGGTCTATGGCTTTATGGCTGAGCTGCTGTTGGTCCTAGAAGCTTCTATATCACAATAATAACCCTTACAGCTGTCTGGGGCAGATCTAGCAGGGCAGATATTTCACAAACTGACTTGCGGTAAAGGTGGCATCCTGTGACAGTGCCATGTTTAAAGTCACTGAGCTCTTCAGTACGACCCATTCTACTGCCAGTGTTTGTCTATGGAGGTTGCACGGCTATGTGCTTGATATTATACACCTTTTAGTAAAGAGTGGCTGAAACACCTGAACGCAATAATTAGGATGGGTGTCCACATACTTTTGGCCACATAGTGCATGTTTGAAAAGCAGCCCCTGAAAGATACAGGCAGATGACAGCAAGAAAAAGAGGGGCAGTATTCTACGACTCAGTAGATTATTATTTGTTTAATCACATCAGAACGAGTGATGAAATATCAGGTAGAAGATACCATAAACAGATACACTGCTGCTTCTCAGGGAAGGAGAGCTTCCTGAAGGTTAATGTAAAGATGGACTGACCCAGAAACAGCCCGCATTAAACATGAGTGTTTACTGTTTACTCTTTAAAGTGGAAGTCCACTGATTTTTCAGAATTGTTCACAGTGGTGGTGGTAGGAACCAGACATCTGAAGAGTTTAACGCCTTTAAAAAGCCCCCTTACAGAAAGTTATTACAAGTTTACAAATACGATGCCTGATGTCTGAGTCAGCGAGCGCGCTTACATGCACTCAATAATCCGATCATAATCAGATTTCTGATTCATGTAGACCTGGAGTTTCCCCATTATCTGATTACTCAAGTGCATGTAAACGCTTTGATCGGATCACTAACAAAATCTGATTTTCTGCAGTTATCGGATTAAGTGCATGTAAACGCACTCATTGTTTCCCAATAGTTTCGAAAAGGTTCTGGAGTGAAATGTAATTTTTGAAACCCAAACCTGGTGGAGAGACACATGCAGGGTGTTGTAAGCAAAATAATCCTGAAAGAAAATAATAAAATGATTATGTTGTAGATGTTGTGATGTCTGGTTCCATTCACCACCACTGTAAAGAAATCTGAGTCTCTACAATGAACCATTTCACAGCAAACTACTCTGGATGACTGTGTTCAAATTTTGAAAAATCGGTAGAATCACCCTTTGAGGAAGACTATTGGTCATATATGTCTGACTGAGGACGTTAAAGCCAAACAAGGAAAAATGAAACAGATTTTTATTTGAATGATTTCAAATTAAGGACTAACATGGTTGATGGACTGACACTGAGGCTGCGAGGCCTGAGACACTTTATGAGCATAACGACAGAAAACAGAAAGAAAAGTTCTGAACAGAAACAAATCACGGCTCTTATGGTTTCACCTCGGACCACCATAGTCATTATGATTACCAATTCAATTACAAGGCTTTTCATTTTGTGCACTCAAACACCCTCATCTCTTTAATACACATGACTCTAATTATAAACATCTGAATAATGTGATTTGGGGAACAGAGTAACATCATACACTCTACACAGTGCATGACATACACTACCTATCACCTATCACCTATCATATTAACCATTATTATTCAATAATAAGTTCTATAGTTTGGATTGAAATGTTAAACTATACACCAAAACATACATTGATAGTTTGTTCTCAGTTGAAATGATTTTGGGAACAAGAAAAGAAGGCATAATAAAAGCTGTTAAATAATAAACTGTAATTATCTATTTATAGTAATTTCTTGATCTAAAATTCCTATGAATAGCTATTTGATCAGCACTTTCAAATATGAGGCATTCTGGATATTCATTTTGTTATAAAGAGGGGCTGTCATGATTATTCCATTAAAACTGGTTACTCGATTGAAAAAATAGAATGTACATCCTTGACGAATTGGCTTAGTGATTACTTTGCAAGCTGAGTAGTAAACAGGCCACTATATAGCTAAGTTCAGCAGTCTGAACAGTCTCCACAAGGGGGAGCTATTAGCGCTAAAATTGCTTGTGGGTATCATTGAAAGAGAGGAAACCCACACCAACAGGATCTCGGAAATGCAAATGTATGTAGTTATAATTTTCATATACACACACACACACACACACACACACACACACACACAAACACACATATATATATATATATATATATATATATATATATATATATATATATATATATATATATATATATATATATATGAAAATAATAATTGGATTATAAACAATTGATAATGACAGCCCTACATATAACTTAATAAACTCATCAAAAATGTAAATTTTACAGCTTTTTTGAAATTTATATAATATGAGCATCATATTTCAGTAATTTTATAGACGTATCTGCAGACGTTATGCTAATGAAAACAGAGATTCTAAACTTTGGATTGGAAGTGTCGGTCATGAAATGATGAAGCTAATTAAGGACACAAAGAACAACAAATATAGACCCTTTTGTGACCCGTCATTACCGTCTTAAGAAAAGACAGATGTGCACATGCCCTGTGTGAATTCACCTCTACTGAAAGGCTGATTTGGGTAGATGTGAGCTTTTATTAAGACAGCAACAATATGCTAACCTTAAAGCCATGTTATTTCAGCAGTATGAGCCCTCTAACGTACAGAGAGACCACTCAAAAGTACAAAAATAACACTCAAGCTTAGCGGAGACAGGCGCTTTAGAGCGGACTATGCAGAAACGACCTTCGCTTTATCGAGCAAACTTAATCAAACAGTGAAATTCAGCTGGTAAACTGTGAAAAATGCAGTGCATATGTAACCCATTTTATATTAATATTGATTACCAGATTAGCATCAGAGGCTAATCGGTCCTCCATACTGTTCTCTCTCACTCCTACAGTGTTTATACCTCATGACTCAGGATTTGGAAGCATCGCAAGAGTCATCGATCCAAAAATAACCCTTCTATAGTATAATTTCGTTATATTTCTCAGTCTTCATCTCTTTGAGGGAGAGCTGAACGTTTCTCAGCAGCTTCCTCCTCTTCTCAGTATCCTGAGGGGAGGTGGAGGGAGGTCTGTGTAGTTTCGTGTGTCTCTCTGTGTAACTCAAAGAGTATTTGTGATTGAGATCAAGAGGCCGAAAGTAAAAGCGCTGGTAATATTAGCTGGTAGCTGGGCTTTCTGTCCCAACTGCTGCTTCCTCTGAGGCAGGAACAGAGACGAATGCGGAGGCAGTGCTTGTGGATTCGGTGGGCACCGCCTCGGCCCCTCCAGAGGGGGCGCTCTCGCTGTCGTCCTCCTGCGGGTAGAGTTCGGGGTATTTCTGCATGCATTCCTGCATGCTGCGGAAATAATCGACACAGTCGGAGCCCTTCACCTCCTCTTTGCTGTAGTGGAAGCAGGAGAAGGCGTCCTTGAACTGCTGACCGCAGGGGCCGCTGGCCATGCCACCCAGACACGGGCAGTTCCAGTTAATGTCCCCGTTGGGCAGAATGAGACCTAGAGGAGTCGCATAAGTCACATTACCAATAAAACCACCCACTTTTGGTACTGATGCTATTAAATAACTTAATTAATATTAATTCAATTAATAAAAATATGTACAAAAATGCTAAAAACAAGTGAGGGCTGGTCAGCATTTATTACACTAATCACTCACTTTTATATCATATAACTGAATTAATTCATCAGTATTATAAAACTTAGACCAGTTAGCATTATGAAACCTAATAGAAACCTTTAAAGGGTTATTTTTCTGCACATTAACAGTGCAGCTGTCTATAAAATAAAGATTCAATAAACATTTCTTCCAAAAACGCTTATAATGAATGAAATTTAGGTGGGCAAATTATAGCAAGACGAATCTTAGATCATGCTGGTCAGTCAGAAGCTTTCATTCATTTATTTTTAGCACTATTTTTAGCTAGTATTCCTTAAAAAACTCATTTAATGGACATTAACAGAGTAGCTGTCTAAGATATAAAAGATTAACGCTTCCTGATGGCTGATAATGATTAAAAGTTCGGTAAATCAATTAGCATTATGAAACTTTAGATGCTAATAAGCTGCTAACTTGTCATTTTAGCATCAGTCATTAGGTAAAGATTTGATCTACAGGCCATTTTGCCTCAACCTAGGACTACATTTCATATCATCACTGTTGTGACAAAACCTTGGTTAGTGTAATTTTACACGGGAACTTTTTTCCAAGTCATTATGGAGAATTTCTATTAATCAGGAAATTTTTATATTTTGTAAAGGTCAGTTTGCACTTTCAAACTCTACAAAAAGGCAGATGCAATGTTTTGTGCTGACACTGATCATATGTATCTGTAAATAGTTAGAAATATGTCAAAAAAAGTGACCACTTATCATATCATATTGCACCAATGTATTAATTAACGTCATATGACGAGCTAACCATGATCTTCATAGGGGTCATTGGGGTCGTCTTCTACAAGCTCAGCGTTGCTCGGCGCCTCGTGGTCCTCCTTCGTCACGAAGATGATGCGATCTTTACCTGTTATAAAACGAGACAGAAGGAACATTCAACCAAAGCAATTCCAGGAAATAATTCTATGGAAACACTAATCAGGGTTCAGTGCAAAACTGCTTGAAGTCTGATCTTATGCAGAAGCTCTATGGTGGGCCATTTCCAGTCCTGGAGGTCTTGGAGCTCCTGCACGGTTCGCTGTTCTTTACATTTAGTTGAACAGTTGAAGCAGGTGAATAAATAATACTTTATTACTTTAGTTATTTCAGTACAATCATAAATTATATGTCAGTACTTTAGTTCTTTCACTACTGTCTGCACCAACTGAGGGTGCCAGCCTGCAGTACTTCTACACATACGTACACTCATCGGCCAGACTATGGAAGCCAGTTTCCGCCGCTGGGAAAAAAATATATATATGTCCATCTAATAAATTATAATAATGATACATTTTTCCATAATTACAACGGAGTATCTCATAATAATGACTTAGTATGTCATAATAATGACTTAACATGTCATGATTATGCCTTACTTTCTCATGATAATGGCTATCTCAAAATTTACATAACATCTCTTAACAATGACTTACCTTCTCATGACTTACTATCTCATATTATGACTTAACATCTCTTAATAAAGCCTTAACATCTCTTAATAAAGCCTTAACATCTCTTAATAAAGCCTTAACATCTCATTATGACGTAACATCTCTTAATAAAGACTCAACATCTCATATTATGACTTGACATCTCTTAATAAAGCCTTCACATCTCACAATTATGACTTAGTATCTCATAATTATGACTTACTTTCTCGTAATGAAGAGAACATTTTCTCATTACTATGAAATAATAAGCAATTATTATGAGATTGTAAGTCATTATTATGAGACGCCAAGTCATAATTATGGAAAACCGTCATTATTATGACTAAATGGTTATATATTCTTCTCCTGTGGCGGAAACGGACTTCTATAACCTACCAGACAGAAGACCAGAAACACAACCTCGAATTTTTACCTGCGAGGAGCGACAGACACCGCGATGACGCCATACTTTTCATACTTATCAGTACTAATCTCATGATCATACAGTCACTAAAGAAACTGACCTTTCGGCATTTCACACCAGAGTGACCTCAGGACCAAGAGGACACTCAGATAACCAAGTCAACCCGGAGATACCGACTTTCAGCAGAGCTCTAACTACAGAACCAGCAGAGGAAAAGGTGTTACTCCAAAATCCACCGCGCTGCACGCAGATCGGACACCAGGATCAGTTCAACTCGGAATTATTAACTCGGACCGAATCTACGGAACATCAACACATGGCGGGCTAGCAGAGGCTAAAGCTCAGTGACATTGGCGGAGGAAGAGCAGCAGAAAGCGCTGATTTCACTCCGACTCATAACCGAACCTCACCTTCCTCTTTGCAGTAGGACATCTTTCCAGCGGAGAGGGCCGGACAGCCGACTCAGGTCCCTTTGTTCTCCGTTTTCAGTCTTTGGTCCTGGACAGCACCGGGTCCAGCACGCCTGCACTCACCGGGCAGTGAACGGAGTGACAATGCTTCTTCCACAATGGCCGCCAGTTTTTCAGAATAAAAGTCCTCCTTTTTATGAAGCGCCGACACTGAAAACTGTTAGCAGACTTCGAAAAAAAAGTCGTAATATTTCGAGAAAAAAAAGTCGTAATATTTCGAGAAAAAAGTCGTAATATTTCTAGAAAAAAGTCGTAATATTTCTAGAAAAAGTCGTAATATTTCGTAATATTTCGAGAAAAAAGTCTATTTCGAGAAAAAGTCGTAATATTTCATAATATTTCGAGAAAAAAAGTCGTAATATTTCGTAATATTTCGAGAAAAAAGTCGTAACATTTCGTGGAAAAGTCGTAATATTTCGAGAAAAAAAGTCGTAATATTTTGAGAAAAAAAGGGGAGGATAAAGTTCTATATAGCACCAAAAAGCATTCTTCTACTGTTGCAATGTCAAGCTTGTAACAGTAGAACAACCCTTGTTGGTGCTATATAGAACCATATACCACACGTTCTCCATCAATCTGAAGAACAATTTCGCCATGCAAAGAACCCTGAACATGTGCAAATGGTTCTTTGAGTGTTTATGGTTCTAACTGTAGGGGGGCTGCCATAACGCGTTGGGGTCTTGGTTGCTGTACTGGCGCCGGAGCTCCACTCACTCCCATCTCCTTGTGGATCGTTTTGATCATCATTCTCACTGCCTGTGAAACTTCATGCCCTCTTTGATGTTTTGATATCAGAAGCCACCGATAGCTGTGTAGACCACCCTGCCTGTGATTCTGCTTCAACACAGACAGACAGTTTGCTCCGAGTCCGCCTGGCTCTTTATTCTAGATAAACACAGTTTCAGGCGTTGTGGGGCAAAATAGCCCCCAAAGAAAACTTATTTTTCAAACTGATGACTATTTTACCATCATCAATCTCACATATAAAAACTCAGAAGGCACATGTAGGTTCACTGGTGGTTTTGGATGGTAAATAAAATGTCTATATTTATGTTATGGACTTGGTGACCCCCTGGTTCCTATCACCACCACTGTAAAGACATTTGACTCCACAACTTTCGCTACAATGAACCATTTCATATCTAATCGCTCTGAATGACTCTGTTTACATCTCAAGGACTGAATTAATCCGAATTTTTTAAAAAAATGTTGGAATTCCCTTTTAAGAAAAAGGGCCTGAAAAATAGCTTAAAGGATCGTGTTGCTTAAAAGATATGTTTTCTTCTTTTCTTCTTTTTTTTCCAAATGCTGACAAACATAACTTGTAATAGCCATTTTGATTGGAAGTTAAATAAATACAGGGTGGTTTCTGACTTTTACGCTGCACTGTATGATTTGTGGCTTCATCCTATTAATCGTGGCTTCTTTCACTACATTTATAGCTGTAATGAACTGCCCTTTAATGCTGCACTTTTTAATGTCACTGTCTTCTGATAAAAATAAATGATCATATGCCAGCTGAGTGTGCCTCAGTGGAAGGCCTTGCCGTCTGTTTTGGAGCATGGCCTTGTTAAACGAAGCAGGCCCAGGCCAGTCTGTGTGAATAGGGTCGTGAGTCATGACACTTTGCCAGCATGTGTAGCACAGATAACAGCAAAAACAATGCAGAGTCATCAATCCTTAACATCCTGAACGTGAGGGAGGATTCATTACGCTGCATTGTTAATGGGGGATATGTTTTAATGGGCCAAACCAAACAAATCCAATCCAGCCTGTAAAGCTTAAAAGGTTTAACGCTGGCCGTCTATATGTGCTGTGCATCTGAGGCCGCAGAAAAGCCAGGGGTCACTCCAGTGTTTACAGGTAGGGCTGACCATCAATCCACAGCCGTGACCGTTTAACAAAGGCTGCAGATATTAAACCTGGAGAGGGGTGTTTGGGTGAAAGGCGGGAGATTATACAAATCATTTGAAAGGGAAAAAGAGAGGATTTGCTCTGAAAGGTTGCTCATAGTTACAGTGGCAACACACACAGTTTGAAGTTAGAGTGCTTGCCAAGCTTTCTCAGTCTCTATTGTCAATACTGAGCTTTCCTGGAGCTCAATCTGGCAAAAAGAAACACTGTTAGATGGAAAACACACTCAACTATTAGCTCATTCAACTCAGTTGTACTGGATTCTTTTTAGCTTTTTTCCTCATTGCACTTTAGTACAAAGTGGAATTTAAGTGTAGTTAAAGTGGAAAATGTAGCTCAGGGCCTTTTATACTCGTTAAAAAGGTTCTTCAATGGTTCTTTAGTAAAGAGAACAGTTCTATTTAGTACCATGAATGCTATATAGAACCATTTAAGCATGAAATTGCATGCTTAAAGCATTTTTGCATGGTGAAATGGTTCTTCAGATTGATGGAGAATGTGTTGCCGTGGTTCTGTATAGCACCAAAAAGGGTTCTTCTATTGTGACAAGCAGAATCCTTTTTGGTGCTATCTAGAACCATGTACAATACATTCTGCATCAATCTGAAGGACCATTTCAGCATGCAGAGAAGCATTAAAGTATACAATCTATTCTATGTAGAACTCTTGGTACTAAACAGAACCATTCTCTTTACTGAAGAACCCATGAAGAACCATCTTGTTTAAAAGTGACAATTTCTGTGAGATAAAAAATACATGTAATTTTTAGTTCATTTTAATGTAACAGAAATACCACAGAAACTGTTTATTTTTCATTGTTAAGTTTCGATTGGAAACAAAAGGGTTAAAATCTTGAAATGCCAAAACTGTCCAATCAGGATTGTTTTCTCAGTGATATCTAGGTAGATATAGTCAAGCAAGCTCCCATTGGTTTCTTCCTCAATAACAATGCAACGTGTTATACCTAAATATGTGTATGCAGAACGAAATGTCCAGCTCCTGTGTGTCAAACACAAGGTCAGAGGGTCAAGTCAGGCCCGTGGCACAATCGAATTCAGCCCACAAAATTATTTTAATTTTCTATTAATAGTGGCCCATTTCACCATGAGCTGCACTACAAGTCCCAGCATGCACTGCAACGTAATGTGTGCCCCCACCCCCTCCCCAACAATGATCTATGTGACAGCACCACAAAAAAAAACAAAAAAAACAAAACAAAAAAAAAGCCAGGTGTCTATTTCAAGGGAATGGGCAGTTTTGAAAAACCTACTGTACTTTGGGGACATTTAAAGAGGTTTAACAGTAAATCTGCAGCTAATAAGCTAATATAGTCTATTATTTTATACAAAACAATTATTTTTTATCTAAAATTATTTTTGAATCGTTCAAGTATTCAGTGTCTATTTTTTGCCGCTGTAGTTTTGGCACATTTTGAACAAACAATGGCCAGTTTGGGTCATGACAAAATGATCAGTAAAAATACAAAAACACACAGCTGGTCCACCGATTTGTTGAGATTTTTTAATGTGGCCCTCTTAGTGGTTGAGTTTGACACCCCTGGTTTAGTTAGTATTTTGTTTGATAACAAAATTTGATCATGAAATGTAGACGTTGCCTTTTTTGCCATTTTCACTTCGGTTTCTGTTTTGTTTTCATAGTTTATTTCACTCTATTTTGCTGTGAGGAAGCACTGACCTCTTAACACGAGCGTCTTACATCAGATTAATCCCAACGACGTCAAGTAGAAGTGACAGTGGAATCAAATAATCCCGTTTTAATGTACAATAGGACCAATTTCCAAAGAAGATCCATCATTCTAGGCCTTTCTGGAAGTTCTAGATACATCACTGACTGTGAATACGAGCCATAGTCTAACCAGGTTTCGGTTAGATGTTTGGAATGAAAAACAGCAGCTGTGGGGCTCTTTGCTGAGAGAGTCCCTGTAAAACTGCTAAGGAAAATATATATATTAATATCTCTTACAAGCTTCAAGCAAAACCTGCAATGTCTTTTTACGAGCTTTAAATCGATGTGTTTAATCTACAACAGCCAAAAAATGTTCATGTGCATCAGTATTAGCTTAGTGCTAACAGGCTATTAGAAACCCCATAGCACAGCAGAAATTAGCATTATCCTACACTCTTAAAAAAGATGGTTCTTCAAGGGTTCTTTAGTAAAGGGAATGGTTCTATTTAATGGTTATCTATAGAACCACTTCACGCTTAAATGGTTGTTTGTATGGTGAAATGCATGGTTCTTCAGATTGATGGAGGATGTGTTGTATATAGTTGGTTCCATGTAGCACCATAAACGGTTTTCTGTCGTTACAATGTCAAGCTTAAAATAATAAAAGAACCCATTTTTGGTGCCACAGAAAAACCACTTCACCATGCAAAGAACCAAAACATCCAAAAAATGTTCATGTGCAGCAGTATTAGCTTAGCGCTAACATGCTATTAGAAATCTCATAGCGCAGCAGAAATTAGCATTATCCTACACTCTTAAAAAAGATGGTTCTTTAAGGAAGCGTTCTTTAATAAAGAGAATTGTTCTATTTAGAACCATTAGTTATCTATAGAACCATTTCAAGCTTAAATGGTGAAATGCATGGTTCTTCAGATGGATGGTGAATGTGTTATGTATGGTTTTGAAAATCATTCGATTTAGCACAAAAAAGGGCTCTTCTGTTGGTACAATGTCAAGCTTGAAACAATAAAAGAACCCATTTTTGGTGCTATAGAAAAACAATTTCACCAAAGAACCATTAAGCCATGCAAATGATTCTATATAGAACTCCTAGTACTAAAGAGAACCATTACCTTTACTAAAGAACCCTCGAACAACCATATTTGTTCAGGTGTTACTAAGTGTTTTTTCCTCATTTTTATCGTGTTTACAGTGTTTTCATATACAGATCAACACAAATTGTCCCAAAAAAAAGGTAAACACACTAAAGGGCTGATATGATGGTAAAAAACTTTAAACTATTTAATTATTTTTAAATAAAAGTCTGATGTTGTATATAAAGTGTTAAGGTTTCACAACATCTCAGTCCATCTATGGAAACTAAGCTGCAAAATCTGCCCATTTTGACCTTACTGTGTTGGTCATGTCATAAAAACCATCATATTTACATACATGTATCCTCCTATTCATCCTACAGCAGTTTAGCCCCGCCCACTGAC